CCTATGACACGTGAACCATGCAAGTGATAAGAGTGCACCGACCTACAACATGCACAGCATTTTGCCCAACCAAAACTGCGACCTTGTATGTTAAGAAGAACAGCATAACCTTTTTCGTCATTTGGAAGCCACTAACCGCTTAGAAGCGAAGGGTGTTGAACCACAACAAGCCACACTTCCTAATCCCCATGTTCCGCTGATACATATTCCCACCTTTCCCGTCTCCATCAATATAAGAAGATCATTTCCATGTTTGCACGAAGACCCGCCTACCTGGTTCGCCTTTCTCAGCCACGTTATCCGAATACCCGATGTTTTTAAATTGCCTCAACTTCTGATTGGCGCGCGGCGAACAGTTCCGTAGTGTGTTGTCGAAACATCAAACGTCATGGGCCCCTATCACCACTTTTGAAATCCCATCACTTCGAGCTCTGATCGCTGCGGTACGAATCGTCGACCAATATTATGGCGTAATAATGGGTCCACGGCAGGTGAGGCGTAGCTGTGTGCGGGGGAACATGCTGTTTGTAGTAGGTGTGGAAAATAGGAGGATGCATCGGTGATCCAGGCCGAACGTGAGTTACTTTTTTTCAGTATATATAGAGAAGAGCTGCAGGTTGTGGTTGGATTCGGTGTTTTACTCCGTGTCGTGGGGATTGAATCAATCGATGCAGGTCATTGCCAATGTCTTGATTATGACAACCCGCAAGCGACAGCAAGGAGCATAGATTTTGGCTTCGCAGTGTCTTGGAGGATTTGCGCGCAGCCTTGATGCGGCTGATTTCAGCTCTCATTCAGGCAGATCTCATGATCTCCTTTGCAGTTTTTGAGGCAACTGTGATTCAAGAAGGAAGGACTAAGGCCTCAGTTAAGGAGTGAACTCGCCTAAGCAGCTTCTTGTAGTGTTTTCATCAATGGAAGCACATGCGCACTCAAATGCTACATTTTAGTATATGAGCTAGAGCTCTGACCTTTTTAATACAGTGATTTAATGCACTGAGTTTTCTCGTCGTGTAAATGACGACATTTACAGGCAGCACCGCCCAAGGACTCATGCTTGTGTAGTAATCAATCTCTGATCTGCTCGACATGGAGGTCCTTCCTCGTTTTTTTGATTATAGGAAAAGAATAGTATTGGGTTAGGAAGTTCGAAACTCAGAGATGCGCAGGTTTGTTATGTCATACAAGCGTAGTAATATCTCTCGCAAAGACATGTCAAGCTACCGACCCTCAGAATCACACATGCAACAAAGCTGTGGATGTTTTCAATCCACAGAACGAGTCCAGAAGACAGAACGAAGTCATATTTCCTATGGTGGTATGTTTCGATAAACAGTGCGAAGCAATTTTCCGCCGCACCATCGTTTTCTTCATCATACGTTTCGGACATGAATATGCGCTGTGCATATTTTGAAGGTTTATCCGAGCCTGAGACAGCAGAGGACAACATCGGATCTTGCGCCTAGTTATTTTATGATGAATGTGAGGAGCGTAGTTAATGAGTTTTTAAGTCGACGAACATGTCTTTATATCGCCGAAGGATAAAAGGCCACATGATCTTGATGTGAGCTGTTACCAACGAAGGAAGAAATCTGGATGCAGAATGCAAAACGGCTGCTGTGCTCTCCAAAAATGAAAGACCTGGTTTATAATGTAGCTTTCTTCGACGAGCAAGACATGCACAATGGCTGGGTCGTTTTTCTTTTCCACACCGCAGCACACCGCAGCACATCGTCGAGTCCAATGGTGATTGTTCTGGAGCTCGTGGCGAGAGTCTTGAGACTTTCCGGTAGATCAGAAGAACGGTAGGTGGACTTCGAAAAAGACAAGTACTGCGAGGTAGTGGTTTCGCTCTTTGCCCATAAAGCGATCGCAAACGTTTTTTGGTACAAAGCGATATGTCTTTCTTCCTCGACCCTTTTGGTCGTCCCCGACCGATAGAAGCATAGCATTGGTCGAAGCGAGTTTTGATGTGGTGGGCGGCGCTTGTGTCGACGCATTATAAGTATGCACTGGCGATTTCGGACACACTTGGTCACTGCTCCATGGGAACAGGAAAACTCTGATTTGGAACGAGGGGAAGGACAGTCCATATGAAGTATCTCGGCAATTTTTAGTGGATGGTTTGTGACGATGGGGGTAGAATGCAGGAGAGATGATTGTAGATATTTATACTCATTGAGTCCGGGGGTCGGCACGTGTGTGTAGTCCCGGCTAGCACCCAAGCACTGTAAAGTCTACCACCGCACCAGCCATTTCTATCATAGTTTCGCGCTTGCACTCATGTTTGTCGTCGGTGCCTGCTCAATCAAAAAGCCTGCAAAGAATTTCGCAACACCATCAAAGTCATCCAGAGTCGTCACCACGGATACATCTACACAGCATTAGCATGTCCGTCTTGCGCTTGTCATCAACTCAAGTTCACTTACATTGATCTGGCCTTACGATCACTACAGCGCCCACATCCGGATTAACACCGTAAATCTTGTAAGCGTGTCCATGACCAGAGTTGTAATGTTCATCGTCAAGGTATGTTTTGTGGAGATCTAAAATATCCGTCAGCGTGACTGTCTTCCATGATGAAGAAGGCGACATACCACGTATACCCCACTTTCCACTCTTGGGCCAGAAGTAGTCTGGTATGCGTTCTTGTTCGGTGTCGCGAAACTTGCTACTCAGCACGAGAATAGGTTCGATAACGCTGTCGATGTGTTTCGCCGTGGATGTATATCGACGCGCAGTTGATTCGAGAGCTTTCGCTAGCTATGCAATGTTACTACGATGAGGCAATTTCAAAGGTTGGGGGCCATACCTTATCCAATCGCCTCTGATGCGCCGCTTGATTGACATCCCCAGCAAACACGACAATTCGCCATCTTCCATCACTCTTGAGCACGCTTTGCAACTGCACAGCCTTGCAATCGCAGAATCGTGTTACCTGCGCACTTGGAAAGCGCATCCCCACCGTCACTGTCGTAGCCTTACTACCATCGCTCCGCATCCCACTAGTGACCATGGAGTCTTCGTATCTCGCGGTAAAGCCCGCCATATAACGCCCACTCTTCGTGAAGTAGTCGGCAAACTCACCCTCGTATTTCTCCTTGCGGCTGAACATTTTGGCGAGCTCCTTGTCGAATGCGATGAGATCGGCTGCTGTCTTGCTGCGTTCGGAGACGTATGTCGAAAGCAGAGATGGAGGTGAGAGACCGGATAGGACGGATCCTAGCTTCCAGCCAATGTTGTAGCCATCCTGGAGTGACACATTCATCCCTTGGCCTGCTTTTGGAGAATGCGTGTGACAGGCATCGCCAGTCAGAAAGACGCGGTTGTGCGCATGAAAAGCAGAAGCGAGACGCTGCCCGATACTATATGCGCTCCACCAGAACACGTCTGCAAAGTCCATGGTATACGGCGCAAAGATCCTTCGAGCCTGGTCTTGCAAATCGGCCAGTTTCACTTCCTTGGGATGTACGCCTGCGGGTAGTTGAATGTAGAATCGCACTAGCTGGCCGCCCTCGCGCGGAATGATGAGCAGGTTGCCAGCTGCGCTGTGTATGGTGCATTTACGACGAATGTCGGGAAAGGATGTGAGCGGGTAGATGTCCATAACACCCCAGACGGTATCGGAGGTGTCGCCCAGCATGCGAATATCGAGGACTTTCCGAATAGTGGAATGCGCGCCATCGCAGCCTAGGACGTACTTTGCTTCCCAGACTTCCTCTTTTCCATCTTTCTCTGCAGTGACTTTGACGCAATGTGAATCTGGGTCGTTCTTGCTCTTCTCGTCAATGTCCACAGCTTTGACAGCCCATCCGTACTCGATGCCATTGCTTGTGCCTTTTTTCCACTTTCCCTTCTCTTTCAGCACATTCTCCATCTTTCCTAGCATCAAACCATTCATACGCGCTTGGTTGAGTATCACATGAGGTAGGTGACTCAATCCTCTCTCGGTGTCAATGGATCTGCTCTTCCTCTTGATACCGCCTTTGGCATTCCCGCTACGATCTTCATCGACCCCCCAAAAGCACACTTCCAGTATGTGATACGCTTCTCGCAACAGCTCTTCTGATAGACCGAATGATTCATAGATCTCTACTGTACGGACTTGAACGCCATCTGCTTGACCAATCTCTAACGGCCCGGATCGTCTCTCTAGGATGGTAAAGGGTATGTCGAAAATCGCGAGCCAGGTTGCTGCAAAGACACCAGCAGAGCCAGAACCGGCGATGAGAACGTCGGTCTTTGGCATCGTGTTGCTGTGATTGCGCCCGATTATCGTCTCTCAGGACGTTGGTAGACTACAGTCCGAGACCGTGAATGATGTAGATGACGATAAGTAATTATGTACAATGAACGACTAGTCGACAGGCTAAAAGGGACAAAGGACTCTAGTATACGGGAGTGCGAGATCTGATTGTAAGATGGGTGCTCAACGGATGTCGCATGTCTGCCGAACGCGATGTCCGAAGGTGTATCGGGCATGCGGGGACGCACATCGGCCCACCCATTAGCGTATAATGACCCAACAGCGAATCCGGGGAAGGAGCCGGATATTTGTTCTGCCACGATTTGCGAGGAATTGCGGAAACAGTTTTATTCTCAGATAATATAGCGAGAAGAGCTCAAGCAATTGTCCTGGCGTCGTGGAACGGGAATGGGTAGTCGTTGTTCCATCATCACACATGGTGCGCAATCGCGAGGAGGCGTCGGCCCGGACATCACAATGCGCGAAAGGACGACTTCGGTCGAGTCAAGAGAGGTGGTATTACTATATACTATATAAGCGCTAAAGATGGTCGTAAATGCGTCTGCGTAAGGCTGTAAGGAAGCACATTACCAGGTGCTTTCGCAGCCACTGTATCCTCCCAAGTCATTCCATAAAGGCGCCGAAACATTTTGCCGAAGCATGTATACGCCATAAACTCCATCCCATGCGTATAAAGGTATGTGAAAAACAGATATCATTGAGGGAAAAACAGAGGCGAGAGGTTATCGTAAGCTCAGTGGCCAACGGCGGAGTAGTGCGAGTTGCGCGGGTGGTATGGTTGCTGATATAGTGATGGCTCGTACTCGGATTGCTGGTACATAGTGCCGCGCTTGTCTTCGTAGTCCAAGGGCTCTTTGATCTCCCAGTTGTGTTGCTTGACGCCGACGGAAAATTCGAGGTCTTCGCGAGTGATGGAATCCCAGTACTATGTAGGTGTTAGTGTCGATGGACATGCGATGTGGTAGAGGGTGACTTGCCTTGTAGACCATCATGACTGCGAGCAGGTTGCAAATAGTGGCGAAGAAGAGGCCATCGATGTAGTGCTGTACTTGGTCGCAGATGGTGTCGCTGAAGACGTAGAGGATGACCTGACCAATAACGAAGAAGAAGATGCCAAACGAAATATCACCGAGTGGCCAGCGGTCTTCAAGGGTTCCAACAACCAGAATAATCTGGCTGACAGCGTAGACGAAGAGGCAAATGGCGTTGACAATGTAAGTAACGACAAAAATAGCTATAGGGTTTCCGGGGTTCAGTCCGGCCCAGCCCTTGAAGGTCAAGAGGTTCACAGCACCGCCGACGATGAACATGACGAGGGTGGAGAGACGTAGTAGCCATACTGATAGTGTTGTGCCGTCTTCGTAGAGCTGGAAACCGACGAAGCCGTTGATCAGCAAGCAGGTACATAGCGCAGAGACGAGGCCGTTCTGGGCGGCAGCGAAGTAGGGGTAAGCGGCAGAACCAGGGGCGGCGACACCGGCATCGAGGACGAGCGATATGATGGTGAGGAAGAGGTAGATGTAAAAGAACGACGTGATCTCCTTTCGGCCTACTGTACGTTAGCAGAAGCTCCCGGGGGATATGCGGCAATGCGCCAACGTACCAACAGCCGTGAACTTAGAGCGCACATGGATAATCATGACGACTGTCATGACCATGGCCAGGATGTGCATAAAGTCGTTGGCCGTCTCGAAGATGAGGGTATTCGCAATCTCGACCGTCCGCGCATAGCACTCGGTCTGAATGCCGACGCCATTATTGATGTCCTGGTGACCCACAAGAGCGCATAGCGGCAGCGGAGCCTTTTCGCAAATCGTCTGAAAGTCGCCGAAGCCCATGTTGGCTGGGGGTGAAACGTGCGATGTCGGTCGGGTTACGGCGGGTCTGGCGCGCGGTGTAGGGCGGAAGCGTGGTGTCGACGACGACAAGTGAGTGAGGTTTGGTAGTCGCGGAAGGTGCAGACGGCTAGCGAGCGAATGTCTGCAAGGTAAACAGTAACGAGAGAAGGCGCAGTGGGGTGCGACGAGGGTCAGGGATACTATGGGGGCGGTTGTCAGGAGTGAATGCGCACTGTTGACAGTTCCCGAGCCGCACTAGTCCCACAATGCAGGTCGTATGCACTTCGGGACTAGCGCCAGCTATTTCCGTCCTCAGAGCTTTTTGCTCTCCACCTGAGCAACACCAGCGATACTTCCTCGTGACTTTCTAGGCTGTAGCCTCTACAGCAGGTGCGCCCATGATGTGCTGGTATCTGGGCATCGAATGGTGTCTTCCCAAACAGAATCTTGATCACACCTACCTCTATCCACGTTTGATGTTAGCAAGTATCAAGATGATTGGGCAGCTGCGCTGCCGTCCACCAATGAGAATACGCATAAATAGCAAGTCCTCGCTCCATGTTTGACCTGCTAGCACGTCTTTCATATCCTCGTTATCGTCGAACACTCCAACGGTTTGCGAATCTCCAGCACCAATCATGTCCTACATTGCGATTGGCACTCGACGGCAAAATATGGGATGACGAATCAAGTCTACGAATGTCTTTGCTCGTTCTGTGGTGCGGTATCACTCAACCACGGCAGGTCGTTTTTCAGGGTCCATGAATGCCTATGGCGCTGAACTATGGTAAAGAAGCGATGCGACCCATCTCGAAAAGTCTTTTAACAGTTGTTTAATTTCTAGTCTCTTTCGCATTCACTCTCAAATCTCAGTCAAACAATTTCCTTGGTGACCTCAGCTCTCAACGATCAAATCACCACTAACATCTCCATGTGAACGCATATCAAGAGCACTTACTCCCCGATTTCCCAAGTCCTCTTGCTCGACCCGCCTTCATGAGTGAAGACCCCAGTATTGAGTGGCGCATCCTCACAGAATTGGCAGCATGGAACAGAAGCAACCCTGCTCCAACTCAACCACCTAATGAAATGGCTGACCACCCTTATCACCGCTCTGCTGAAGCGGCGCTCTCAAGACTGGCCAACTTCAGGACACAGAATCCTCTTCGTTTCATGACCGCTCCAGCAGCCCCCTCGCTATCCCCTGGCTTACCTTCTCCGTTGGTGTCGCTAATCACATCTATACCGCAGCAGTCGCGGTCAACACCAAATATGTCCCAGTTCCACCCTTCGCGCATGAATATCCCGCCAACAGCGTATGCGCCCGCATACGCCTCCGCCCATCAGACATCACACGCGAACCACATGCCGCCCCCTGCTACACAGTCGCCCTCTCTGCGACCATCAGAGCCGCAAGCGTACGGACCACTGGTCCATCCCGAACCGCTCGCGTGTTTGACTTACAACATGGTCTACGATAGAGTTTATCTGGTTCTCCGGGATAACCTAAGCGAGTGGTGGACAAAGAATCCAGATGCGCTACAGAATGTATCCCGTAAGCCATCTCCTCCGCCCTCCATGTCCCTTCTCTTTCACTAACGCGATCGAAAAACAGAACGTCTGGCTGGTCAAATCAGATTTAGCGGTCAAAGGGGTATGTTCGGACCAGATGGCATCCAGTCACTCAACCGGATCAACATGTTTATTGGGCGAGAGGGTATCTACCGCTACCTTTGTCTCGCCGTGCTTCCAAACCACGGTGAATTATCGACCCTCCTCAAGGGCGACCTTTGCGAAAAGGACGGAAACGATCCCATGTACGATGAGGAATTGCTGGCAATGTGTAAAGAGGGCTTTGATAAGGTCGCTGTGAGGCTGCATGCAGACATCGTCGTACAGGATGAGTTGAGGCGGGCCAGAACAAGTAGCCATGGGGTGGCGGTGCAAGAGTGATTGACATGGGGTGCGGGTAATGTTGGGTGAACCAAATATGTAAGAATAATGTCGGCGCTCGTAGGTATGTTGCACATAGGCCGGATCACAGAGACGTACGAAGCTCTCTTTCCTAATGATACCAATGTATGATTGTCCACCTCAGGAAGGGCAGGGTGATGGTGTACATTTACAGTTCCTGTGTCGTGATTGTGATAGTTGGCTAAGGGCAAGATGCCGCTGACGAGTGTTCGGGTTTTTGCTCAGGGGATTAATGGCACGCCTGAGAGATCTGTGGGGCCATTGATCTTGTGATTGGTTGGCTCGTAAAAGCACGTGATGAAGTCCGGTCATCGATGTCATGATTGGCTGCGAGCGGTTCAGAACACCATCGCGCCTGCATCCTGTACCGCATCCGATAGAATGTTCTCATGCGTCCTCATCATGGACGTGTCCTCTACCACTACCGTTGCCCTTGGCTCTTATCCAGCATGTCGTCGCAGGGCGGTGTGCGGGTTCAGTCTCGCAAGCGCAGTCCCAAAGTGAAAACAGGCTGCCGGACATGCAAGTGTGTAGTAGATGCCTTGACTGTTGCCAACTCCGACTAATTGCTTTTAGAGTACGACACGTCAAGTGTGACGAGACAAAGCCGACATGCCTCAAGTGAGCCGTTGCATCTGTATTTGCAGGTTGCTACAGTCGACTGACGTAGCTAGGTGTACGAGTACCGGCCGCAAGTGCGAGGGCTATACATCAAGCGGCGGTGCCTTCCAAGTCCACATTTGGAGTTACAGCCAGACACCCGGTCCGCAAAACGCGATATCCACCTTAGGCGACCTTGGGGATAGCGCACGCTTTCTAGAGTTCTATTACCACTGCGCCCGCCCTGCGCTGTCGACTAGTTTCGACAAGGAATTTTGGTCGCGCATCGCAATTCAGATGGCGCATTCGGAGCCTGCTGTGCGTCACGCATTGGTGGCTCTGGGTGCTCTCTGCCAAACTGAGCCAGGAGATATGAAGCATGCATGCTCGAGATTTATTACAAATCGCGATCGTAAGGTCATGCTGTCACACTACAATCGATCTATCAGATGCTTAGTCGATCGCATGAGGGAGACCACTTACTCGCACGAGCTTGGCCTCGTCATTTGTCTTCTATTCGTTTGCATCGAATTCCTCCAAGGCAACTATCACACCGGCCTTACCCATTTGAACAACGGCTTTAGATTGATAGCCGCGCGCCGACGGGGACTAGCAGGGTACCAGAATCAGTCAGCAGGCATTGCTTCACCTAGCGGCTCGAGATCTTCACAGAGTGCGATTGAAGAGACAGTTGTACCAATCTTTACCCGCGGCATGGCGCAAGATCTGTTGTATGGATTCAAGGCTATACAAGACTTGGAAGTACCAAGTCCAACACCAGCGATGTACAGTCGTACCCAATTCCAAAGCCTTTCAGAAGTGCAAAGAGTCTACTTCGAGCTCCGCAACGCAACTATCATCCATCTGTATATGATGGGTCGCAAAGCCATCTTTCGACAAGAGCCTAGCAACGACGCTTATAATGAAAGAGACAATCTTGTGGCATGTCATCGTATCTGGTATGAGAATATGCGGCGCTTTGAACTCCACCATAAGCTCTCCGATGAAGAGAGCATTGCTGCTAGCGCACTCAAAGCTTCTTACCACACTACCCTTGTCTATGTCTCATGCTCAGCAAGCGTTATAGAGAAAACGTATGACGCTTACCTGGATGACTTCAAAGAGATAGTACGTAGCGCCCGGGAAGTCATCGATCTCACACCGCCGGCAAAACCCAACACCGCTCATTTTACACTCGACATTGCGATTATACCACAGCTGTACTTTGTCGCAACCCGGTGTCGCTGTCCCACCACTCGGCGAGAAGCAGTAGCACTTCTGGAACGTAATCCACCCCGCGAAGGTCTTTGGGATGCGCAGCAACACGTCGTAGTGTCCAAACGAGCGATCGAATTGGAAGAAGCTGAAGTTGACCCACGTACCGGCTGGCCGGTCGAGGCGACGAGGCTATGGAACTGTATCCCGAAGGCCGGGATGGACCACAATGGTGGGTTTTGGGTGGCGTTTATCCCAGCACGATGGATCGGGATACTTAATGCGAACGGGACTCAGAAAACCATGTACGAGTATTTCGTCCTATAATCATGGTTTGATGCAAGAAAGTTTTCCAAAATACAGATCCGGTATTCTCGGCATGTACATCCCGCTTTCGCTCGTTTGCAATCGTAGATTTTGCTCAACATCAGGTATCGTTATTATGACAACGAAAACAATCCTACCAGAATGCCTGCGGAGAGTAACGTCAATATCTATCCCGTGGGGTAAGAAAGCTACCATCGGTAATGTTACATCTGCCATCACTGCAATCGCAAACAAGCAGCAATGCTCAAGGGGACAAGCGGTGGAGGTGCGCAAGACATCGCAGCAAGCAAAAAAGCATATATAAACTTTGTTCCCACTATCGAAAAGTGTCTGCCATTCATTATATACCAATTTAACACACAAACACTGAGCTGCAAATGATGGCCTCCAGTCCCATCCGACAAGCATTCGAGAAGATCCTAACAGACAAGAAGAATCGCGGCCTTCCGCCACTCGAGGCTGAAGACTATGATCACTTCCTCGGTAAGTTGCTTTGTCAGTTGCACCTCTTTGAACTTGGCTGACGCCTTCTAGCCGCCGTCGCATCGCTCCTCGCAAACCCAGCCTTCATCGACGAACATAGCTGGCAGACGCAGACACTTGAGCATTCTATCAGCCGCCCCACCTTCAATGCAGTGATCAAGGAAGATTGCGAGACCAAGCTTGATGTTCGGCTCGAAGTGGGCGAGGAGCTCGATTCTAGTGGCAAGGTAGTGTTTGTGGGCAATGTAGTCCGCATCACTGTAGATGGGCATGTGCTGGCGAAGGGCAGGAGCAGCTTGTGGGCCGCTGATGCGCTGCTACTTGCATTGAAGAAGGTTGTCGCGATGGCGGGGCAGTGGGAGTGACCGGGTTATGGGATACATCGAGCTTACTGGCGTGTGTTGGCTATCGTGACTTTCGATGTAGTATCCTCCTCTGTTTGTGGCTCTGAAGCGAAGCTGGGTAGGTGTGACTCCAGCTGATAGTTATGGAGTAACCAAAACGATGATGTATGAAATATCCTCTAGCACTTTGCTGGTGTGCGTTGAGATCAGCTGGCCACCCCTTTGTTGTAAGTTAGTTGTAGCTCACATAATGATTATCAGGACCGCTTGCCAGCAAACGAAACTATTGCATAAGACGCTGACCTCGCCTGCTACATGTTCCCTTACACGCAAAGGCTACCGCGAAGTCTTAGCATCCATGGACGAAAGAAAAGACAACATCCTAATTCAAGATCGCCTCGACTATATCTGCAAAGCCGAAAACCTTCCGATCTTCACGCCAGAGGATCATCAGATTTATCAGTCTTTCTGCAGTAAGTATAGGACATCTATGATCCTGATACTCTCTTAATAGATGCAAAGGGGACATCATTTATCTGCTGACCCTTGGGCACTCGAGGTCAGCGACACTCCACTCCCCGCTGAAGCAGATCTCCTCGCCTCAGTCGCTAGTCTGAAAGAAAATAGAAGCTCGCGTAAGGAAGATGCTGAGAGGCAGACACAACAAGATCCTGACAAACCGTACCCCAAGGGTTTTGATGCATCCAAGAAAGAGAGTGTGGATCGCATCGCTATCAAGATTCAGCCGCAGCTGTGGGAGAAAAACAATGGAGAGATTAAGATACTGGGATACGATGCATGGGTTCAGGTCGACAATCTACTCCTCCAAAAAGTTACTTCAACAGAATCTTCGAAAGACGCGATGAGGAAGCTTTTTCAGGCGATAAAGCATTTGGCGTTTCGTCATCATGTGTTCTGGTAGTACGAGAATTTGGATCCACAGGACTATGACGACTGGGATCCGGCGACCTGAACCTGAACTGACGAAAGAAGGGGGAGCGGGACACTTGCAAGCATCCAGGACTAGTGTGTGTCAAAGATTGTAGTGGTTTCTAGCTTGAACAACTGACTTCCGAAAACATCGTCATCACGTGCATCCGCTCATGAGCTCTTGCTTGATACCATGACCAGTTTGTCAGTTTTCACCGCCAGTGGTGGGCAAGCCACATGGATGCGGCCACGGGTGATGCTTGACAGCAAACATAGGTAATATGTAATAAGCGTGGCACTACAAGTTGCCAGCTTCAGCTGCTCGCAGATCGAAGCAGAATCGTAGGATCCATGGAGACGAAGCAGTTCAGGTTCAGATCCCTGTCGTCTCTCGAGGCACTCTTGATGGGAAGATTAACAGACTACGGGCTTCCTGTCTTAGCACTGAAGGATCGCCAGAGGTTTGTTGGTAAACTCAGCATTTCCAAAAGATAGATACATGGTTAACACTACGAAAAGATGATCTTGTCTATCTCCTCGATACAAAGAGAAAGAACATACCGTTTTACCCCTGGAAATGCGATGAAAAAGTCGGGACTGCACCCACGCCATCAACTTCACCTGCTCCAGCCCATTCACCAAGTTCGCCGAATGGCTCTACATCTCTGGATGCATATGGTATCACTCTACCTCACAACGCATCTACAGATACGGTCTATCCCGCCAATCTCGATCCATCCGAGGAACAGAATAACGATCGTATATTCATTACTATGGGAAAGCAGGACGTTGGTGAGTCCTGTAGTGATATCGAAAAGGAGATATTCGCGGACATGACTTGGGGATACGACTATGTTGCTCGGCTCAAGGTTGATGAGTACACACTCGTGAAAGGTGCGGCAGAGGATTCTGAGGAAGAAGCAATGAGCGAGCTGTTCAGACACGTAAATATCCTCGCTAACGATTACCGTCAGATGGAAAAGGAAGCAAGCTAGATGTATGAGGAACGTGTAAAGATAAAGAAAGCAAAAGAGACGCGGGATGCGGTATGTGAGGCCTTGAATTCTGGTGCGTATCGTCAAGGGCAATGGCTGTTAGGTTGACGTGAGAATTCTACGAAGTTCATCAGGTAATGCACCCTTCACCTCATAGTGACAATGTGATTCAGCAACGACAACGTGAGAATGAGACTGGTATAACGGGAGAAGTGAAACATAGCTTGATCATCGTTTGAAGGGCATAGCCCCCTCAGAGTGACACTCGCCCCACCCGGACTGCCACGAGCATTTCGCTAACCACGACCTTTGGCTCACTCAATCAGCGTGATCACCGAAACGGGTACAAGGATCTACAGAGAATACTGTCAGACTCGACGCAAGAATCAGACCCGCGACAAAGATGAAACTCCGGCTCGTCATATCACCACGGCGCGCTCCCCTAGGAGCAGAGTTGCTAACAATCAATCCAAACTGATGAGACTGACTGACTGACTGATTGCTTGGCAGTCAGTTCAGTGTCAGTTTAGAGCTCTCGTCTTATCAGTCAGTTCAGTTTAGAGCTCTTAAAC